GCACCTTTACCTTTAGGAGTGGGAAACAAGAGACAAATGTGCTCCAGAGCACTTCCCTCTTTCATTTTTTATTGGTGTTAAAAGACAGGGTTGATTATTTTTTCCAATTGATCAGGATCATATAGGAACCTATGAATTAAGAAAACTTCAATCTGATAAAATCATGTGGTTGTGGAACACATCAGACCACGCAAAACCAAACAAGGTTAAAACTAATCAGTTCAACCCAGAAGTATTATTTTTCTACTTTGAGTGATCTCCACACATATATCTTGTTATAGGATTTAATCTGCTAGATTGAAACAAAGTGATTCTGGACAATAGACATTAGTCTATTCCTTTCCTCAGATTCCTTCTTCTCTGTTCTAAGATATTTTTTAGCTGTTTTCCCTGTTTTCAGAGAAAAACAAGAAGGCCTGGGACAAACAGCGATCCAGGAGGTGGTCTTCAAAGTTCTCCAGAAGAAAGACCATGTAAACTGAAGAACTCTACCAAAACTCCTAAGGCAGACATATTTGCCTTAGATATTCAACTCGAAAAAGTGAAGCAGTATGGTGAGCAGACACTTTGGGTTGGAATGGGTCATTGAGAGGGAAAGGGAAGGAGCTCCTTCAGAAGTTGGCTTCTCCATGTAGGCATCTAGGGAAGCCACTTTTGCATCTTTCTAGATCCAAGGTAGCACAAAGGGACAGGGCAGAAACCACACTGTTCCTGACCCTCTAAGCTCCCCTTCTCCTGAAGTTCCTGAGTCCACAACTCCACATTGACTGTCCACACGTTCTACTTCCATGGGAATCTTCTGGAAAAGTTCAAGATTATTCAATGGCATCTATCAATATATTGGCAAATGGGGCGGGAAAATATAGAAAATGGTATTTGTCCAAGGACTCTGTGAGAATTCTCTCATGACCAGGGGACTTACCCAGTGCTGTGGACCACAAATGGATGGATGGAATCAAGTCTCAAAGGGAAGGACACTGCAAAGGCAGGCCTGATTTTGGTGGGTTTTCTTCAGAGGGAAGTGATCTAAATATTTGCAGAGGCTCACAGCCCTGTCTCTCCTTTTTCAGATTATCCCAGAAAAGACAGCTCAGATACTTCTTCATAAAAATAGAGCCCCAACAAACATGTAAAGTGCAGTGTGAGGCTGCCTGCATCAGCTCCAACCTGTGGACCAGCTAAAAGCTTTGGTAAGAGGTCCACGAGAGGACTACCGAAGCAGTCCAAAAAGTAGACCTTCCTTGGTCATAGAGATTGCTATCGCTGAGTTTGGGTCCCATGTCTGAATCCCAGTCCCTTTTGCCCAAACTCAATGTGTTGCAAAAGATTCCACAGGACGGAGAGTCTCAGAAGGACTCTCCATGGCCTCACAGAAGCTGATGTTGCACATCCTCCCTGACTTACAGCCCTATTCTTTTCTATTGCAGCAAGACCATTACATCATTCAGGCCCTGCCTTCCATTGCTGCTGTGTTTCAGCTGAAGCAGAGTGGAGAAATGAATGTCCCAGTGCCCTGGAATAGCAATAGTACTTAGACTTATATACAGCTTGATAGTGCTTTACAGTCCTCTCTAAGCAGTTTACAGAGTCGGCATATTGCCCCCAACAACCTGGGTCCTCATTTTACCCACCTCGGAAGGATGGAAGGCTGAGTCAACCTTGAACCTGGTGAGATTCGATCTGCCAAACTGCTGGCAGCCGGTGATCATCAGAAGTAGCCTGCAGTACTGCACTCTAACCACTGCGCTACCACGGCTCATAGGAATAAAAACTTCATGCTGAGGAAGTGAGAGACAAGCAATAATTGGGGTTAAGAACAGGAGGATGGAAAGAAAGTAGCAGTAGAGGGAGAGAAGAAAATATATCCTTGGATAATTCAGAAGATTTAGCAGAAGTTCTACTAGTCTGTTAGAGAAACAGAATGAAGTTTTCAAAAACAAGCCCATGCAAAGAGTTCTTAATTTTCCTTTGGATGGAAGGATAAGCTGTAGCATAATACTGTAGCAGGTCAAAAGGGGTTGTGACAAAGAGGAAGGGCTGAAGAAACCTGCTTGACCTTGAATTCGCTGCTTCTCTCCACTCTTGTTTCCTGCCAGGCTCCGTTGGAGGACAACCAGTTTAGCTGCTTCACTGTGAAACTAGCTGCACTGCTTACATTATATGAGATCAGGTCAATCTCGTTTCTTTTGTAGTGAGGAGGGAAAATCTGTTTGCAATACTTAGAGGGTAAGAAGGGAGAAAATAGAAAACAAAAGAAAAAAAAGTTAAAGGCATAGCTTCATCTGGTATATCAGTTGGGCCCCCTCCTAGGTCAAGAGGCCTTTCAGATAGTCACTCATGCCATGGTCAACTTGCAGCTTGACTACTGCAACAAACTCTACATAGGGTTGCTCTTGAACCTAAACCAGAAGCTTCAGTTAGGCTCATTGCCATTTTGGACACTTTCTGCTGGGGCAGCCCAATCAAACGAAAGGTTTTCCTTGTAAACTGGACAGAAGAGAGGGTAGCTCTCATGCCTTGTAGTGCTTGACCCAGCTGGCCACTGATATCTTTTCCTTCTTTTGCCCCTACAGCAAGGTCCCACCAGCCATGGACCCACCTGTGGAAGTCAAGTCTGTGGCTTCCTGTGGATTGTGTTCATGGAGAAAAAAGATGAGGATGTTTCAGAGGTACCACCCTCAGCAACATTTCCAGCATTTCCTTTGGTGTTGGCATGGACAGAAATGCATTTCAGAAAAGAGAACATCATCATCTCTGTGTTTCTTTTCAGTTGATGGAGCAGGCCTTTGGCCTCATGCTCAGAGGCCTTCTTTGGCAGTCTACCACCTCAAAGCAACTCATTTTTATTTTGAAGGTAATGGCATAGAAGTCCTGGGAGGAGGCTGAAGGAAGTCTTGGCTATTGTAAACATTCAGAGAATCAAGAGTTAAATCTCCTGTTAAATGACCCACTCTGAACAATACGTGTGGGATTGTTCCTGAGGAGAGGGATCAAGTATTGTGAGAACATTGGCTTGTCACAAGAGCAGTTTTCCTTCACACAGGGATCTCTTCACGAAGATGCCTACTTAACTGAAATGTTCCAAGGCCAGAATTGCAGATGACAAAAAAGTGCTTATAGTGACCTTGAATTCTTTGATAGAAATGCCATACCAAGCTTTCCTCTTTCCAAAGGAATTGGGATTTAGGAAGTGTGGGGCAATGTTAAAGGGAGAAGATGGCTCCAGAGGTCTAGAGAAGAATTTACTATAAATGGCATACACATTTCCTTTGGCAATGAGATTTTTGATTCAAGGAAACGAGCAAATTTTGTCAATTCCACAGAGCTTTGAGCCACATGGCTGGAGATATTTCTCCTCAGTCTTGAACCAGATCCTCTACTGTGGAAATCATCAGCCTAAAATCAATGTACATAGCAAACCTAAAATAGCATGGATTGTAAATTTAATGTGCCCTCCTGCTCTTGGGACCACAGCCTGATATAACCTCTCTCTTGGGACAAAAAGGCAGGGAGGTTTTTTTTCCTTTCGTTCCACTTGATGGTGGACTAAGGAATCCCTGGACTGGACATCTTGCTGGTAATATTTATGTCGATAGCCCAAGGGGAAAAGGGGAATTACTCTACCAGAAACCTTGGCAACAGTACAATGGACTTCTTTCTATCTCCTTTGGCTTATTGAAGTCCATCAGGCATTTCCAAAGTGCCTGAGAAGGTCTGAGATGCTGGAAAAATATATGGTTTCATTAATGAAGGTAATTTCATTTAGAGGGAAAGAGATGAGGGTAAAAGGAAAGAAGACAAATCCCACTTTTTGTATCTCAAATGGAATATATGTTTACCCAATAGTTTAAAACTTCAACATGTCTGTGTCATTCAATTGTACTCACTGTGTTAATTGGAGGGTTCCCTACCATTTGCCAACTTCCCCCTTTTCTTTTTCTCATTTTTTTTTCTATGCTTGATGTTCTAGAAGTAGAGGAGCTGTGACCCCCCCCCCCCCCCGCCCCCAGGTCTCCCATATTGAACAAGCTAAACTGGGGAAATTTAAAGCAACATAGAGAATAGGGAGCTGGATTACCAGTTTGCCCATTCATTCAAGGTGATTGTTGTTTTTTTTTTACTGGCTGTGACCAATATGAGGACTTTTGAGGGAATAGCAAAGTCCTCCCTGTAGCATCCATCTTGTGAAGGACTCAGGATGTGCATTTGCGATTTTAATTTCCCGTCAGATATAAGAAAACACAGATTTATTTTCCAGAAAACCTGGAAAAACAGGTCAACTGCACATGGTTGAAAGCCCCTGTGATCCAACATTCTACAGCTTCAGTGATCCACCAGATGGGTGTTCTTTGAAAGTGCAAACCCAAAATGAAGGGTAAACAGATTCCTTGATTCCTAGTTTACTTTCTTCAGAAAAAGGATTGTGAATTATATTTTTGTTCTTCTTAACTAAAGTCCAGACATAAACATAGAAGGAAAGCGTCCAAAGTTATTTCCCATTACTACCCGATATTCTTTATTTCACGAATTATTTTGACTTGATTGGATGCCACCTATGTTCCCTCTAAGGTATGTGTGTTTCTGTGTATGTACATGTACACCAGTGATGGGTTGCCCCCGGTTCGCACCAGTTCTATAGAACTGGTAGAAAAACCAGTGGGAGGCTTCGCCCACCGACCCATCACATGCGCAGAAGAGTGCATGCATGCATGGCCCATTGCAAACCGGTAGTAAAGGTAAGTAGAACCCACCCCTGATGCACACCTCTCATGAAACTCATACATGTGGTAAGTTGACCATGAAAACTTTAAGGTTAAATAATAATAATTCCTCTCTCTGTCACGGGGAAAGGCCCTTAGTTTCTTCCATCTACAACTTTCAACTATTACAAATAATGGCTGCACCTGTTCTGTTGTACACTTCTGACCTTATAATAAACCCTGCCATTTGTGCTTTTTGATCATTCCACTGTCCTCAGTCACTTGAAGAATGGACCTCTCTGCTACCGAACTATTTATTTTTCAAAGATGGCATCGAAACCAGATGTGTTGTGGAGCAGGTTCCAACGGTAGTCACTTTTAGTACATTTGCAGCAGGTAGGTGGTCTAGAGAAATAGACTAAGAATTGGTAGAGTTTCTGCAAATGTGGAGTGTTGCTCTATTGAGCCTGGTTGATAATGCTTTTTGCCATACAATTTGTCTCTCTTGTTAGGCTGTGTAGCAGCTTCAGATAGAATCGCTCGTGGTACCTGAAACTCACTTCCTTGCGTGGACTGTTGCTGGTTGGACTGTTGCTGGCTGGACCATTGTCTCTCTAAGATTGGCATTTGCATGATTGGATTGCTGAGAGCATCAGGCGTGTGGTGCAGCTATGCTGCATAGATCAGCTGTTGCATGCTGAACAGCCTTCAGCAATGGAGGAATGGAAAATCAAGTTGCAGCTTTGTGGGCACCTAAAAAATGAACAAAAGTATGATCACTAGAAGCCAGAATGGGCTTGTTAAAAGCAGATCATGCCAGATCAACCTTATTTATGTCTTTGATAAAGTGACTAAATTAATGGATGATAAAAATCCTGTGGATATAGTTTATGTAGACTTCAATAAGACATTTGACAAAGTAGACCAGAGCCTACTTCTTGGTAAGATAGAACAATGTAAAATAGACAGTTTCAACATAATATCAATTTGCAATTGGCTGACCAACTACACTCAAAGCGTAGTCCTTAATGGAACAACATCTATATCAGGGGAAGCATGCTGTGGGTTATCGGAAGGTTCTGTTTTGGGCCCAGTGCTCTTCAACATGACCTGAATGAGGGGATAGAAGGAGAATTCACCAAATTTGCAGACAACACCAAACTGGGCAGAATTATCAATACCTTGGAAGATATTCAGAAGAATATTTTGACAGATGTGAGCATTGGGCCTTAGCCAACAAGATACAGTTCAGTGGAGAGAAAAGCAAGGTCCTTCACTTAGCTAGGAAAAAGCAAATAGAGAGTTATACTATAGGTGGTACCTGTCTCAACTGGAATAATTGGTCCAACTCTGATCACCATGATACAAAAAAGATGCTAAGGCCCTTGAAAGAGTACAGAAAAGAGCAACAAAAATGTGCAGAGGTCTGCAGGCTAAACTCTATGAAGAATGGTTGAGGGAACTAGATATGTATAACCTAACGTAAAGAAAGATTAGGGGTGATATGATACTTGAGGGGCAGTCACATGGAGGAGGGGGTTAACTTATTCTTCAAAGCACCTGACAGCAGGACAAGAAGCAATGGGTAGAACTTGCTAAAGAGAGATCCAATCTGGAATTAAGGAAATATTTCTTGATATTAAGAACAATTAATCAATTTAATAGCTTATCTTCCAGAGTTGTTGATGCTCCATCAATGGAGGCTTTCAAGAAAAAGTTGGATCAACCATATGTCCAGGATGCAGTAAGGTCCCCTGTCTTAGGTTGGAGATTGGACTAGAAGACCTCCAAGGTTGCTTCAAGCCCTATGTCTCTATTATTCTATCTAACTCAAGGTTGAACTGGGGAGTTCTTGATGCTCTCTGAGCTTGGTGGATTTCTTGCAGATGCGTCATTACCCAACTAGTTGGCCTCACTGGTGTGAGAAAATTCTGACAGAAATACCATAGTAAAGTACCATTGGTAATGTAGGGTAATGAAATGTCTCCAAGATAAAAACCAAGCACCAATGACTCCACAAAGTCCTTATAGTTGAATAAAATATGTTGTACAAATATCCTTCAAATTGTACCTTGGAGTAAATATGATTTATTTTATTTTATTTATTTATTTATCTCATCTTTATTATTCCATTGTGATTTCTGCTCTCAAGTTTTTCATTCACTTTATCACTTAATGTTTAATTTGTTCTGTCTCTATGTACCAGGGGTGAAATCCAAAATTTTTCCCTACCGGTTCTGTGGGTGTGGCTTGGTGGGTGTGGCAGGGGAAGGATATTGCAAAATCTCCATTCCCACCCCACTCCAGGGGAAGGATACTGCAAAATCTCCATCCCCATCCCACTCTGGGGCCAGCCAGAGGTGATATTTGCCGGTTCTCTGAACTACTCAAAGTTTCTGCTACCGATTCTCCAGAACCTGTTAGAACCTTCTGGATTTCACCCCTGCTATGTACTTACTAGTTGTTTGAAAAATATAAGTAGTCTCAAGAAAGAAGAACCTTGAGAAAGATGATATAATTTAAAACACTAATGTCTATGGACATCAAAACACTAATAGAAACCATATATAAGGTATATATAAACGGTTACAGAAATTTTTACATTTCAGAGATTAAAAATATACAGTGTGAGTTTTTATCCATCACAAAAGACAAATAAGGGTTCAAATTTGCATGTAAGTTAAGGTTTCTTTTAATGGAATAATTGGAGTTTGGGATAATGGTGTCCATTACTTCTGACTGTCCATTAAATCAGAAGATATATCATAAATTACATTATTTGTGTCAATTTTGATTATTTGCATTTTTAAATCATGTTACATACATATGCAAATGTCATTTCTAAAAAAATATATAATTTACATAATGATATCACACAGATGAAAATAATCTGTGTAGAAATGTGGTCTGCTATATGCAAAGACTGTTGCATTGACGTCCACTAAATCAAAATTTTAGTACAGAAGCATCTGCAGGGGACTAAAGGAATAATGATTCTTGTACTGCATGAACAAAATCTTGCCTCTTTTATATATGCATTGATACCACATGTAAAAATTGCCCTCTTTAGAATCCTTCAAACATAGGATGCTATTTTATGAGGTGAAACATATGACACTCTCAAAAAATTCTTATGTTTATACATTTTCACTCTATGTCTGTTTAATATGGCAAATAGAAAAGTGTTCTGAACATGTTGGAAAACAATTGATGATCTTTCAATGTTTAGAATACAGTAGGAACACTTGCTAGGTTTTAAAAGTATGTTCCCTCAACTCAAGTTTTGTACAATAGAAATGGTCTGGAGCAGTGGTGGGTTGCCCCCGGTTCGGACCGGTTTGTAAGTGTTATGTCTAGCAGGGTTTAGTTATAGTTGTAGTGTTGTTATTGGATGAAATCGATGATGTCATCAGCACGGAAGATTCTTTTGTTAGCCATTGGCTAGAGCAGTTGAGCTATTCATATATAAGAGCTGTCAACTGCCATTTTCTAGCTGGAGCAGTTACAGTTACAGTTACAGTTACAGTTACATGGTGAAGCAATAAAGAGTACAATTACAATCGTGAGTGCCTCAATATATATTGCAACAATATAACACTGGCGACCAGGATGGGATGTTCCTGAGGCAAATTGAGAGCAGAATCAGCATTAAAAGAGTGTGAGTCACCCAATACACAAACCACCAATCCACGAAATGGCTTCTCCAACTTTCGCCCCATACAACGCTGCTGCTGAGACGTGGGATGTGTACGAAGAGAGGTTTGAATGTTTTTTAGAAGCCAACGATTTTACTGACCTCTCAAGCAGTAAGAAAAGGGCTCATTTTTTAAATGCTTGTGGCCCTGAGGTATTTGCTACTGCCCGAGCGTTACTTGCTCCCCAGCCTGTGCATACTACTTCCTGGGAAGTTTTGAGGCAGAAATTGAGGGCTCACTACGCTCCAACTCCGTCTCGTATAGCCCGTAGGTTTAATTTAAGGCAAATACTACAAGAGGAAGGGGAGCCTGTCAACCATTATGTCGCCCGTCTGCGTACAGCCGCCATCGACTGCGAGTTCCGGGATTTAGAGGACGTTTTGGTCGAACAGTTGGTTTGTGGGGTACGCGACATAAACTTACAGAAGCGTTTGTTAGCGAAAAAAACCCTAGATCTTCAAACAGCCATGGAAGAGGCCCAGGCGGCGGAGATGTCAGATAAATCCGCCGCGGACATCCGTAAGTGCCATCCCTCTGCTAATCAAGCCACGGCTGTCCATAGTGAGGAGGTTGTTTCTGAAGACGATGAAGAAGAGCCGGAAGTCAGTCGTATTAAGACGTTTACTGAAAAAGGTGGGCGGACAACCGGGAAAAAACCTCCTCCATCCTCCTGCCTCAGCTGCGGCGATCAGCACCCCCGAACAACTTGCTGGTTCCGTTCAGTGACATGTCGACGTTGCGGCAAACTTGGCCACCTCTCACGTGTCTGCCGCTCGGGTCGCCAGAGGCAATCTACGTTTCGACCAAAAGGTGCTGCAGTCATCAGTGAAGACTGTTTTGCGATATTCCGCGGCCGGCGGGTCACTGAAATAACGACCCACCATGACTCCACTACACGTTCAAACAAGCTTTTCCTGACTGTGAAGATCGAAGGTGTTCCTTGCAGGATGGAAGTCGACACCGGCTCATCTAAATCCATTGTCTCCTGGACCACCATCAAAGAAATGATGCCTAGCCTGCAGAAAAATCAGCTTCACCCCAGCCCTGTTAAGCTTAGAGATTATCAGGGAAACCGGATTCCAATTATTGGGCATGGTCATTTCCTAGTTGAATATGATAGTTTCACTGGCCGCCTCCCCTTAATCGTGGTGGATGGCTCCCTTCCTAGTCTGTTAGGCTTAGATTGGTTTGGATCCTTTGGCCTTGCCATCACAGGCATCCACTCAACATCATCAGAAAGCGATTTTGATATGTTGGCTAGCGAATTCAAAGATGTGTTCAACGATGCTCTGGGTAAATATGTGGGTTCCCCAATTTCACTGAACTTAGACCCGAACGTTGCCCCTATTAGGCTCAAACCCCGGAGAGTACCTTTGGCCCTCCGTCCAAAAGTAGAAGCCGAGTTAGATAAGTTGATTGCCCAGGGAGTTTTAGAACCCACTGACCATTCCCGGTGGGAAACCCCAATAGTCATTCCTATCAAGCCGGACGGGTCGGTCCGCATCTGCGCGGATTTTAAAAGTACGTTGAACCGGGCATTACAAGCCAACCCCTATCCTGTTCCAGTAGTCCAACACTTGCTCCACTCCCTGGGTTCAGGCTCTATTTTTGCTAAGCTTGATCTAGCTCAAGCGTATCACCAGCTTCCAGTGGATGAGGCCTCAGCTGAAGCCCAAACGATTGTAACCCACCGGGGAGCTTTTAAGTGCAAACGGCTTCAATTCGGTATTAGCATAGCCCCGGGGTTATTTCAAAATTTAATGGAGCGCCTCCTACAAGGACTTCCCGGGGTAGTCCCATATTTTGATGACGTGCTCATCTCTGCATCTTCGCGGGATGAGCTCATTGGCCGTGTTAGGGCCGTCCTTCTACGCTTCAGGAAGGCCGGCCTAAAATTGAAGAAATCTAAATGTTTTATTGGTGTGCCACAGGTTGAATTTTTGGGGTATTTAATTGATGCCACAGGTATCCACCCTACTCCCTCAAAGGTGGCAGCTATAAAAAACGCTGCTGTTCCAACGTGCAAAGCTGACCTGCAAGCTTTTCTGGGGCTCCTCAATTTTTATAGCGTATTTTTACCCCATAAAGCCACCTTGGCGGAACCTCTTCACCGTTTATTGGACAAAAATACGCCATGGTCCTGGGGCGAGGCTGAAAACTGTTCTTTCCGGGCTATCCAAGACCTACTAACATCCTCTGCTGTCCTGGTACAATATAGTTCTCACCTTCCTCTGGTAATAACAGCAGATGCATCCCCTTTTGGCATCGGTGCCGTCCTTAGCCATAGGTTTCCAAATGGAATAGAAGCACCCATTGTCTATTATTCCCGTACTCTTTCCTCCACGGAACGCAAGTATAGTCAATTAGACAGGGAGGCCCTAGCCGCAGTGGCTTCTGTAAAGAAGTTCCACGATTATATTTATGGCCGCCATTTTGATTTGGTCATTGACCATAAGCCTCTTCTGGGGCTTTTAGCTGGGGACCGTCAGACTCCTTTGATACTTTCCCCCAGGATGTCCCGTTGGACTGAGTTTTTAGCGGGTTATAATTACACCTTAAGATACCGCCCGGGTAAGGAGATCGCGCATGCTGATGCGTTGAGCCGCTGCCCATTGCCCTTGCCCGTGGAGGACCCTGCACCGACCTCTTCTGTCCTCCTTGTAGAGGAGCTGCCCATTCCATTATCTGCAACCGACGTTGCCGCCCACTCGGCAGTTGACCCTTTGTTAGTGCAGGTGCTCGACTGGGTGGCAAGGGGATGGCCATTGGGACAAGTGGCCGAGCAGTTCAAGCCGTTCCGGCTCAGGCAACACGAACTTTCTGTCCTCCGGGGTTGCCTGTTGTGGGGTCATAGGGTTGTTATTCCCCCAAAATTGCGTAACTCTATTTTGGAGTGTTTACACGAAGCCCACCCTGGTATAATCAGGATGAAGGGGCTTAGCCGAAGTTATGTGTGGTGGCCAGGGATCGACCAGGATATAACAGATTGGGTAGCCAAATGCCAAACTTGTCAGCTGTCGAGGCCAGCAGCACCATCTGTCCCTCCCAGGGAGTGGGAATTCCCGAGGGCTCCATGGTCGCGGGTCCATCTGGATTTTGCTGGCCCCTTTATGGGCCACCAGTTCCTTATTGTGGTGGATGCGTATTCAAGGTGGATCGAGGTAGAAATAATGCCATCCATCACATCAGAGGCCGTCATACGTGTTTTAAATAAATTATTTGCTACACATGGCCTTCCGGATGTTCTAGTGTCCGATAATGGCCCACAACTGACATCCGCCCCATTTCAAATGTTCCTGGCCAGTTTAGGAATCCGCCATGCCCAGATTGCCCCTTATTGTCCCTCCAGTAATGGTTTGGCAGAAAGGGCTGTGAGGTCAACTAAAGAAGCGCTGGCAAGACTAGGACCACGGGGGTGGCAAGAAAGGGTTTCCACATATTTGCTTTCTCAGCACACAACACCTTGTTCAAGCACTAATCGAAGTCCTGCTGAGATGCTGATGGGCCGCCGATTACGAACAACACTTGACCGTCTGCATCCTTTATACAACTCAGACCGGCCTACAACAGGCTATTTGCCACCTAGGGTGTTTAAAGAGGGGGACCAGGTTTTTGCACGAAACTATGGGGGTGATCCCCGTTGGTTGCCGGGACAAATTATACAAGTAACGGGTCCCTGTTCTTACAGGCTCCTGCTCGTTGATGGCAGAACCTGGCGGAGACATGTGGACCAGTTACGGAAACGTGTGTTAGAAAAAAACCCGGCAGAGGCTGTGAGTCCGTCACCTACAACAACGCTAAGTTCCATGCCAGGTCCAACGTTAAGTTCACAAGCAAATGACAACTTAACGCGGGGCGCCGCGAGGAGCCAGCAGTGGCTCAACTTACCTGAGGTAGAGTCCGAGGCTGGGAAGTCTGTTACAGGGAAAAATTCGTCAATTGTACCGTTCTCTTCTCCATCCATGCCGGAATCAGCTGCACCTGTTATCGAACCTGAACTACGACGGTCCGGACGAACACGCAGGCGCCCGGCGTACCTTAACGATTACACTTGCGTGATCCAGGAGGGGAGGGGTGTTATGTCTAGCAGGGTTTAGTTATAGTTGTAGTGTTGTTATTGGATGAAACCGATGATGTCATCAGCACGGAAGATTCTTTTGTTAGCCATTGGCTAGAGCAGTTGAGCTATTCATATATAAGAGCTGTCAACTGCCATTTTCTAGCTGGAGCAGTTACAGTTACAGTTACAGTTACAGTTACAGTTACATGGTGAAGCAATAAAGAGTACAATTACAATCGTGAGTGCCTCAATATATATTGCAACAATATAACAGTAAGAACCGGTAGTAAAACCAGCGGGAGGCCCTGCCCACCACCCCGGATGTCATCATCGGCGATCTGCGCATGCAGAAGTACGCGCAATCCCGTTTTGTTAACAGATGCAACTATGACCACTGAAACTTTAATAATTGGACTGAAGAAGATTATTACTAATAATGAAAGAAGAGACAGTAGTTAAATAAATACATAACATTAGAGTCAGACAATAAGAGATTACTTCATCACTTCACAACTTAACTGTAAACATTTTGAATTAAAAAGAAATCTTCTGTTGGCAAACCCATCAAATATTTTTGAAATTATTATCCATTTTAATTGAGTGAATGGGGAAAGAACATATGGAAAGATTTCATCTATCACTGAATCTTGGCTTTTTTTAGATTTTCTTAAACCAAACTGGCAAATGGCTTTTATAATTTTATGTTGGGCATCAGTTATACTTTTTAAATGTTTACATAGAAATCTGAGTTTATGCCCTATTTTTATATTGTGATGTCACTTCGCAAATTTTGCCCTGAGTAAAGAATTGTATTAGCCTTTTTGCAAAATGTCATCTTCTTTCATTTTGCTGTAGCTGAGTTAGATTTTTGTTTATTATTTTCCTTGACTTCTTGGAACTAATTTATCACATTTGGAACATAGGCTTAATGCAATTATCTCACCCTTTATTTTTAAACAAATCTCCTTCAAAAGATGCATGGTTGTTTTTTTTTTTAAAGAGGATGGTCTTTGTTTTTAGAAACAGAATAATTTGAAAGGTAAGAGATGTTGTTTAACTGTTAAATATATTAGAAACAAGATTCCTATTGACAATAAAATTATTGCCTTTTGGTAAAAAATAAAAAAATAAAACAAGGCTTTAAGCAAAATTATATTTTTTAAAAAATAAGACCAGTTAGCTGCAATCAGAATTTAATGTCTATTTTAGAGCACTTAATGAAGGATTACAAAAATTACAGAATAACTATAGTTGGAAAAGATCTTGGAAGTCTTCTAGTCCATCCTCTTGCTCAAGCAGGAGACCATATACCATTCTGGACGAATAGCTGTCCAATCTCTTCTTTAAAACCTCCAATAATGGAACAGCCACAATTTCTGGAGGCAAGTCGTTCCACTGATTAATTGTTGTCACTTGACAGAACATTTTTTGTTAATTGTAGGTTGATAAGCTTCCATCCATCCATCCATTCATGATCTATGTTTCATTTTATTTTAAAAATAAACAATTGCTTCTTCTTTTATCAAGGAATTGTACTGAATTGGAATCTGAAGTTGAAATATCCTTATTGCAAGCCTGGAGAGCAAAATGTTGGGTATTTGGTTTTTAAATGGGAATAAAGAAAAACTTTGGGAAAAGTGGCATATCCTTCTGTTAGAAGCTGGCCACGCCTCCCCCTAATACTACTCTTAATTGGTTCCAACACATCGCATCGAAACCATCATGGGTTACATTGGTGTGAGAGTGATTAGTACTGTATAAAGTAACCCGGAGAACTTCCAAGACTGAAGGTGGATTTGAACCAAGACTAAAGGTGGATTCGAATCCATGCAAGAGTTCCATAGGTTTTCAAATTTCTCTGGCCATGGAACCTGCTAAGACTCTTGCTCAAGAGTCATACAAAACTGCCTGCACTTGAGTTTTCTTAAACCTAATACTAAATTTTATAAATAAATAAATAAAGGGACGCATTGGCTCAGTAGCTAAGACGCTGAGCTTGTTGATTGAAAGGCCGGCAGTTCAGTGGTTCGAATCCCTAGTGCCGCGTAATGGGGTGAGCTCCCGTTACTTGTCCCAGCTTTTGCCAACCTAGCAGTTCGAAAGCACGTAAAAAATGCAAGTAGAAAAATAGGGACCACCTTTGGTGGGAAGGTAACAGTGTTCCGTGCACCTTTGGCATTTAGTCATGTTGGTCACATGACCATGGAGATGTCTTCGGACAGCGCTGGCTCTTTGGCTTTGAAACGGAGATGAGCACTGCCTCCTAGAGCTGGGAATGACTAGCACATATGTGCGAGGGAAACCTTTACCTTTATCTTTAGCTTTAATGCTAAATATTTTTGTTTTGTCCTTAGTTTCTCATAGAACCCCATTAAATTATTTTGGAGTCACACAGAATATATTTTGAAAAAATCCTCTATAAGTGCATTGCATTTTCCACTGCACCATAAAATGAGTTGTGGCAATGTGATACATTCTGAAATATACAATGAGGAGAGTCCACTTGCCTGTCTTACCTCATAAGTTTGGAAATGTAGGATTTCCTTCATGGAAATCAATAAATGCCTTTAGTAAAGTAACCAAAAGGATGCTTCCTTCCTTAATTGGAAGACTTGAGGGAATTTCAAAGTATGTTTCTCTCTGTATGGGGGTAAATACGTATATATGTAAATGTGTACATATCCTGATTAATTAGAAAACTTAGCACAGCTCAGTGAAGATTCCTAATACTGCATATAATATATTCAAAAGGAGTGCAACTACATCTCTAATTCAGTTATGCTGTTGAACATATATGAGAGAATAGTTTGCGTGGTTTTTTTTACTAACTTTGGAGCAGTCGTGGGTTGCCCCCGATTCGCACCAGTTCTATAGAACCGGTAGTAAAACCGGCGGGAGGCTCTGCCCACCGACCCCAACGTCATCAAAACGCTTCTGCGCATGTGCACGGCGCCGCTGTTGAACATATATGAGAGGATAGTTTGCCTGTTTTTTTTACTAACTTTGGAGTGGCGCTGTGAACCGGGAGTAAAGTTAAGTAGAACCCACCCCTGCTTTGGAGCATACCATTTCTGTAAATGCCAAGAAAGATGTACATTTATTCTGTAGAACAGTCCTTTAAAAGTTAAAACACATAAGCTGTTTGTATTTGACTAGCTATTGAGAAGGAAAACAAAAATGCTTCTCTTTTAATGCCAGTAATATAGAAAAGCTTAAAGTAATCATGGCATTGACCTGAACAATAATCCTATTTTATCTACAATAAACACTCAATTTAGCATGGTTTTACTCTTCATTCTCAAATTTAGCAAACCTCTCAAAGCGGAATGCTAAGAAATGCTAAGCAGCATAGTTGAAAATCATATAAAAGGCAGTTATTTACACAGATAGGAAAATCTGATGAATTATTGCCCTAAACTTTATGGATTGTTTCTTCTTTAAAGATTTAACAGGTGTTGTGTGATTTGTCCTTACTTATAATTCTTTTAATCTTACTTGGTCCCAGTAATATTCCTATGTTTTGTTTCAGTTTGCTTGGTTCTTACTGATGTTAGCATTGAATTTTAAAAAAAGGAATTGCACACGCAGCATCATAGTCTGATTAATGTTTAGAGTTGGCTGGAAGAAAACGAAAATCTAAGCCATGAGAGATTTTGATAACTTCACATTATTGGTCAACCCAGTGATGCTGAGCAATAATAATGAAGCGATGACAAATGCTTGAATATATTTTGAGCACTATTCAAATAAATATGTTTAATATTAATTATATTATATTATATAATTATTAATTATAATATTAATATTTATTATTAATTTAGTTTTGCATTCTAGTTTTCCAGATTCTGCAATCTGCTTTTTAAATGACCCTTTTTCTTGCACACAAAGCATTCACGTGTAATTCCTTTTATTTCTATTTTTCGTTTTTAAAACAGATTCTGCAATAGAAGTGCTGTCACTATGAATGCTTTCTGTTTTATGCTTATATTCATCGAAAAGCTTTCCCTTAACATATTCCTATGTGAGCTCGTCATCTGGACATGCATCAAGCACTCTGACAAGCATTTCATAATTTTCTGGTAAATAGCAATGCTGCAACTTGAAAATTTTTTATTTCTTCTCCTGTGCCTCTCAGGCGTTCAACCATTTCCAAGGCGTGCCTTATGTAATCCTGCATATCCTGGCCTATCCTGGCTAATCAAATACAGTTAATTGATTAGATTATCTCTTTCATGCAACTTTTGTAATCCTTCCCACATTTCTTTAGCAATTTCACATTTACATAGATTATGATTCAGGGATGGGTTCCAAATCCCATCACTATTGGTTCGCTTGCTCACGTGCGGCACTTCTGCGCATGCGCAGAAGCGTCCGTGTGGGTGGGCGGAGCCTCCTGCCACCGCCACCGGTTTGCCTGATCCGGTGCGAACCGGTATCAACCCACCACTGGTATGATTTGATCATCTTCTGTGCTAAGAAAGATTTTATTTATTTATTTATTTACCAAAAATTTATATGCCACACTTCTCCCTAAGGACTCAGGGCGGCGAACAAAAGTTAAAAACATACAATAATAAAAAATCAAAATGATTAAAACCCAGTTAAAACAACGACAATCAAAATAAGAAAAACCCAAGCAACAAGGTCAACCCATTTGTTGAAACAGCCAGGTCTTTAAGTCCCGACGGAAGGAGCGGAGATCAGGCGCCGTCCAAAGCTCAGTGGATAACTCGTTCCAGAGGACAGGTGCGCCCACAGAGAATGCTCTACCCCTGGATGTCGCCAGCCGACATTGTCTGGCCGACGGTACCCTGAGAAGGGCAGCCCTGTGAGATCGAACAGGACAGTGGGAGGTGGGTAGGAGATGGTCCTGCAAATACCAGATTGTGCTGTGAGCTTTCTGATTTATATCTATCTATCTCATCTAAAAGGTGTTTCTGGCCTTGCTTCATTTATACATTTCCACCTACCTTCTCTTATTAGCAGCACTTTTCATCTTGAATTCCCAAGTCTGGTAGTTCTGGAAGTTTGTCAGATTTGCAAATGGAATCTTTCTTTCAGCTTTGTTACTGGCCATTTTCTTTTATTCTGTTGCTATGACTTGCACTTATTTGCTGTAGCTGGCTAGGACTGGTTTGCTCTGTTCTGTGCTGAACTTTGCATTTCTCCTCTAATCTGGGTTTATACTGGGTTTATCTTTGGTTGATCTTCGGTTGATCCTGAGCCCATAACCTGTTAGAAGTTATGTTTTATTATATAGAAATTGGTAGCAGAGGAGTATTATATAGCCATACAGATTGGTAGCTTGCTGCTTAATGGTGTTTTTTTTTTTTTTTACTGTTCACAAGAAACTCTGCCCAGAACATAAAAGAACCATAGATTATAACCATAGATGCATTCTAAACACTGCCATCTACTGGCTGAATAATTCTGTAGGTTGTTACAATACAACATACATTCCAACACAAAGAAGTCCTGCATATTGTGTGGGTCAAAAGGAGGTTGAGAAGAATAGAATAGAATAGAATAGAATAGAATAGAATAGAATAGAATAGAATTTTTCATTGGCCAAGTGTGATTGTGTGAAGTGTGAAGATACCAAGTTTCCCTGAAAATAAGACCCTGTCTTATATTTTTTTGAACTCTGAAATAAGCGCTTGGCCTTATTGCCATGTGCTCAAAAGCCCAATTGAGCTTATTATTAGGGGATGTCTTATTTTGGGGAAAACAGGGTACCTGTAGACCAGTGGTGAGTTGCTCCCGGTTCTGTCCGGTTCTATAGAACTGGTAGTAAAATTGGTGGGAGGCCCCACCCACCTGCCACGACATCATCATGGGATATCTGTGCATGTGCAGAAGTGTGCACGCACGTGAGCGAAGCGAACACACACGCACACTCCAGTTACGAACCGGTAGTAAAGGAAAGTAGAACCCACCCCTGCTGTAGACTCTTCACATCCTGGACATAAACTGTTTCAACTCCCACCCGCAGGATGCAGCTATAGGGCATTGCATGCCAAAACAACTAGACACAAAGGCAGTTATTTTTCCCTCGTGCCATCGCTCTGCTGAACACCTAATTCTCACAGTGCTGTCTGTGTATTTATTCATGTAGTATGGCTGTAGTATTATTATTAATCCTTCTTATTATATTCTTTACTCCTATCCCTTACTGGTATGATGATGATGATGATGATGATGATCATCATCATCATCATCATCATCATTATTCTGTTGTGTTGCATGTAGATTGAGAGTTTCTGCACCGGAGACAAATTCCTTGGGTGTCTAATTTCACTTGATTAAATAAAGTGTTCAATTCAAATATAAATGCATCAATACAAACTGACCAGAATGCCTGTGGGTTTGTTTTCTTAATTCTCAATTTTAGTGCCATCTATGCAGTGGTGGGATTCAAGTAATTTAACAACTGGTTCTCTGCCCTAATGATTTCTTTCAACAACCAGTTTGCCAAACTGCTCAGAAAGTTAACAACTGGTTCTCCCGAAGTGGTGCGAACTGGCTGAATCCCACCACTGCATCTATGGCTATATTTAAGAATGCACATTATTCAGGAAAGATTTTCTTAATATGTTTAATTCAGTTGATCAGAGAGTTTGGAAAAGTGTGATTTAATGTGTCCTTGAAAGACAAGTTTACAGTTATTTTAAACAAAAGCTACTCTAGATTGGAGTACTAATTCTATTGTATGAAAACACTTTACCTTCATCAGAATTTGGTCTATCAAAAATGTTTCTGCTTTCCATAAGAAGATAAATTGCACAATATTAGGCAAGTTTTTGTCATTTGTAACTGGCATGTTGAGGGGGTAAAATTAGTCATTTGATCGATTGCAATGTATTTAAACAATAGAATTGTTAAGGATATTGTGTTACCAACCAGCAGAGCAAGTGCACAGAGAAACGGTACTGAGAGCAATGAATACAATACATACAAACTGGTTTAACAAAGCTTTTACTTTTACTCCAAGTTTTTAGCCATTCAAATCAGTCCGGAGTTACAGAAATCATCTTATCATACAAACAGCAGTAGGTAATAAACAGCAATTCACACTGGTAACAAATCACGATAGTACCATACTACTAGCACACACGACAGTAACAGTTCCAACCAACAAGTCAAGCAATAAGTCAAGCAATTCTGACTATAGCTCGGCTCTCTCCTTATATACAGTTTACACTAGTAATTATCCATTTAAGATAAGTGAAGTCAGCAGTGCAATGACTCAACAGTACAATTAGGATAATTGCAGTCAGCAGTCAGTCAGCAGTCAGTTACAATGACTTATCAGTACAATTACTCAGCATTACATCTTAAAGTTACAGAATACATTTAAAGTGATAGAACACATCTTAAAGTTACAGAATACATTTAAAGTTATAGCACACATATATTGCCTGGACAACTTGTTAGGCTCACACCATATCCTAACAAGAATTTCAAGCAGTGGTGGGTTTCAGCCAGTTCGCACCAATTCGGGAGAACCGGTTGTTAACTTTCTGAGCAGTTTGGCGAACTGGTTGTTGGAAGAAATCATTAGGGCAGAGAACCAGTTGTTAAATTACTTGAATCCCACCACTGATTTCAAGTATTTTTTTTTCCTGTTTTCCTTGAAACTATTTTCATTGGCTCAATCAGTTTTCCAGTTAAAATATACAATTTTATAACTGATTTGGCCTTGTTGCTTCTGTTATTAATATTACATGGTTTTTATACATTTCGGTTTATTACTTTATATAGTTTATTGTAGTTAATTCAACAATGAGAGGTGTAATGGTTATGGCTAGGAGATTATGAATTCTAGTTCCATCATAGGCACAAAGCCAGCTGAGTGACTTTGGACCAGTCACTTTGGACCACTCACTTCCTCTAGGAAGAAGGCACTAGCAAATCATTCTGAAAAATCTTGCCAAGAAAACCATAGGGACTAGTTCAGGTAGTCACCAGGAGACAACACAAAAACACAGAAATGCTCGCACACGCACAAACACACATTAGCTGAAGTAAGACAGTGGCTTCAGGGAAGCAGATCATCTGCTGAACAACAGAGCTACCATATTTACAATAGAATAGAATAGAATAGAATAGAATAGAATAGAATAGAATAGAATAGCACAGTTGGAAGGGACCTTGGAGGTCTTCTAGTTCAACCCCCTGCCCAGGCAGGAAACCCTACACCACTTCAGACATATGGTTATCCAACATCTTTTTAAAAATTTCCAGTGTTGGAGCATTCACAACTTCTGGAGGCAAGTTGTTCCACTTATTAATTGTTCTAACTTTTAGGAAATTTCTCCTTAGCTCTAAGTTGCTTCTCTCCTTGATTAGTTTCCACCCATTGCTTCTTGTTCTACCCTCAAGTGCTTTGGAGAATAGCTTGACTCCCTCTTCTTTGTGGCAGCCCCTGAGATATTGGAACACTGCTATCATGTCTCCCCTAGTCCTTCTTTTCATTAAACTAGACATACCCAGTTCCTGCAACCGGTCTTCATATGTTTTAGCCTCCAGTCCCCTAATCATCTTTGTTGCTCTTCTCTACACTCTTTCTAAAATCTCCACATCTTTTTTACATCATGGCAATCAAAACTGAATGCAGTGTTCCAAGCGTGGCCTTACCAAGGCATTATAAAGTGGTATAACACTTCACGTGATCTTGATTCTATTCCTCTGTTTATGCAGCCCAGAACTGTATTGGCTTTTTTGGCAGCTGCTGCACACTGCTGGCTCATATCTAAATGGTTGTCCACTAGGACTCCAAGATCCCTCTCACAGTTACTACTGTTGAACAAGGTACCACATATACGGTACCTGTGCATTTTGTTTTTCTTGCCTAAATGTAGAACCTTACTTTTTTCACTGTTGAATTTCATTTTATTAGATAGTGCCCAATGTTCAAGTCTGTCAAGATCCTTCTGTATTTTGAGCCTATCTTCTGGAGTTTTGGCTATTCCTGACAGCTTGGTGTCATCTGCAAATTTGCAAATATCACTTGACTGTGATTCTCACTTAGTCAGATTTTGTAGATTATTCTTTCCCATCATTTCCATCAAAGAAAAATTCATCTACAAATACAGTTAAGTAAAAGAAAAAGAAAAAGTGAGATCATATTCATGGCTTTAGATGGAATAACTTGGGTTAGTCCTCCCAGAATTAAGCATGAAAATTATCCCTTTGATGGTTTCAGGTTTCCCACATGAAATAGTGTTTTAACAACAACATAAGAGTTGTCTGGAAGTTGAGTAATCGCCTGAGCAGTTTGAGCAGCCCCCATTTTTTTTATGCTCCTCTCTCATCAGTCTCCAGGAAGATTAAGACCACTTCACAGGTTCACCATGAGCAGTGGTGAAATCGAAATATTTTTACTATTGGTTCTGTGGGCGTGGCTTGGTGGGCATGGGGTGGCTTGGTGGGGGTGGCTTGGTGGGCATGGCAGAGGAAGGATATGCAAAATCTCCATTCCCTCCCCACTCCAGTGGAAGGATACTGCAAAATTCCCATTCCCTCCCCACTCCTGGGGGAAAGATATTGCAAAATCTCCATTCCCACCCCACTCTGGGGCCAGCCAGAGGTGGTATTTGCTGGTTCTCCAAACTACTCAAAATTTCCACTACTGGTTCTCCAAACTGCTCAAAATTTCCGCTACTGGTTCTCCAGAACCTGTCAGAACCTGCTGGATTTCACTCCTGACCATGAGAGATCACACTTAATGATCCCTAAGAATTTTAGGAGTTGGTACATTCCAACAACCCTCTGGCTACTTAGATTTTTTTTATTTATTTTTTATTTTGAATTTGTATACCGCCCTTCTCCCTGAGGACTCAGGGCGGTGAACAGCCAAGTAAAAACATCAAGTACAAATATTAAAATACAGTTAAAATATACATATATAAATTTGGCCCCAGTAATTAAAAACAATAAACAAAACACTTAAAAACACTTAAAAAATTAGGCCAGCCCGGCTTGCTGGAAAAGGAAGGTTTTAAGGGCACGGCGGAAGGCACTGAGGTCTTGGATTCTCCTTATCTCTGGAGGCAATTGATTCCAGAGGGTAGGTGCCCCCACAGAGAAGGCCCTCCCCCTGGGGGTCACCAGCCTGCACTGTTTGGCTGATGGCACCCCGAGGAGGCCCTCTCTGTGGGAGCGCACGGGTCGATGGGAGATCGTCGGTGGCAGCAGGCGGTCTCGAAGATAGCTAGGCCCTATGCCATGGAGTGCTTTAAAGGTGATAACCAACACCTTGAAGCGCACCCGGAAGACCACTGGGAGCCAGTGCAGCTCGCGCAGGAGCGGTGTTACATGGGAGCGCCAGGCTGCTCCCGTCACTACCCGCGCTTCCCCCTAACCAACTTGTTCAGACTGAAGAAGCTACCTGAATAAGCAGCAAAACATTTCAAACCAACAAGAAAATAGATCCAGTTGCATGACTCAACTTCCAGAAAACTTTAGCTGGATGATTGAGAACCTTCATCAAAGCATACAGAGTTGTTTTAAAAAACAACAACGATGTTTAAAAATTAATTCTAAGTTAATTTTATTTTTTTTTAACTAATGTAACTTTTAAATCATTTTTTAAACATTAATGTAAAATTAAGTAGAAAACTGAAACTGCATTGCATCCCAATGCTGTGATATCTTAAATTATGATGCTTTTTCTATTTTCAGCCAGCAAATGGTAATTTGGATGTGCATTGTCTCTATTGTCCTGTTCACTAAGGAAAGATTTTGACCTAACAGATGATGTTGGCAGCAAGCAGAAATTTAATGCATGAGTATATTTGCTAAATGTCTTTGTATTAGGAGAGCCACGGCTAAATTCCTTGATTAAAGCAACTGTAGACCAATCATGATTCAGAAAAGAGTAGCTGAAACAATTAATGGACGTTATATTATCAGCAAAACTACATGCCAACATTTTCACAAATGTAAATCATTTGAATAATATACTCTGAATCTTTTATTCGAAAGATATTCACTTTCCTGAGAAAGTATGTTTACCTGAAAACTAAAAATGTAGAATAGGGAGCCAGCAGCCATAGCCTTCTGAAACTGAGAGTCTACAGAAAAATATAAGAAAGAAGATTGCAGGAGAAATGTTAATGGTCTACAAAAACAAACGGATGGCACTTTGCCGCAACATTAGAAATTTATGTATGCTTTTCTGATATCTTCCAGAAACTTCCAACAAGAGAAACCATACAATTATACAATGTCACTTAATTTTATATGGAAGCAACATTAATTGTACAATGCATTTTAAGAATTAACTTTAGAATGGAATAGAATAACAGAGTTGGACTAATAAAAACTAAACTATGTTAAAGGAGGAAGAAAAGGGATTGGTATGGTTGTCATTTTGTCCCATTTTTAAATGTGAAATTGACTCTGTATCCTAGTGCGATCATATTCTGCATATCCTTGCACTGAGAGTACAGTGTTAGTACTGGTTTGGGACCAACAATTCAGTCACAAAACGAAGCATTCACAAAGTACCCATTTAAAACCCATGGTGTTTTTTTTTTGTTTTTCCATAGTACATTTGTTTTTAGTTGTCTACTCTTTTAATTAATACATTCTTTTTTTTTAATTTTCAAAAAACCTTTATTAACATTTAAAATATTAAAATATTAGTACAAATACATCTGTAACAAAAATACATCCATGATAGTTGTACAATTCAATGTCGTTCCAACAGTACACAAATCTTAACTCTATTCATATATTCTCAGATATTCCTTCTTGATCAAATATACGTAAACACAATTTATGTCTTATTTTGATCTATATATTTCCTATTTTTATTTTCTATCCATTGATACCAGTTTTCCCAGATTGAGTAATATCCCGAGTCTTCCTTGTTATTTAATTCTATAGTAAATTTGTCCATTTCTGCACACTCAAAAATTTTCCGGATTATTACACAATTTGTCGGTGTAGTGGACATTTTCCAGGCTTATGCGAGTACTTAATTTTTTTTTTTTATTTGATTTATATGCCGCCCTTCTCCGGAGACTCAGGGCAGCTTACAATGCGTTAAGCAATAGCCTTCATACTTTTGTATATTTATACAAAGTCAGCTTATTGTCCCCACAAACTGGGTCCTCAATTTACCTTCCTTAGAAAGGATGGAAGGCTGAGTCAACCTTGAGCCTGGGGAGATTCGAACTTACAGTAATTGCAGACATCTGGTGTTAATCACAATGCTATCAGTCTGCTGAGCCACCAGGCTCTTATATTCTATTTTAATTAATACATTCTAACCTTAGGAATTAATGATTTTATTAAAGTGTTTTATGAGGTGTTTGTTTGTTTGTTTGTTTATTCCGGTACTAGATTCTTGCTTATATAAATTTAGTTCTGCTTCACTCTTTGTGAAAATCATCTTCCATGATGAATTGTAGTGCAACTGTTCTTGTAATTTTTCACAAATGCCTAATAGCTTAACCCTCAAGCTATCTTTGACTTAAAGGTAGTATCTAGTGCAGCTAAAACTATTTAGATTTTAAACAATTAATGGCTGCTCACCTAATAATCATCATGTGAAGATTTTTTAAAAAACTTTTTTATTAAACATTTTTTTAAAAAACAGAAAGCTTTCACACTTTTTCCTTTTCAACAGTTTCGCGTCAGTAAAGAATTTCTTACTTAAACATTTTTTCTCCCTTATTCTAGTGTATCTTTTGTACATATACTTCTAATATTAATATTAATATTAGAAGAATTTGCATTCTATTGCTTAAGCGGACGGATCATGTTAATGTGTTTAAGTTCTGAAGTAAGCATGAGAGTTGCCGTATAAATGATACTGCAAGATTACTATCAACCATATCATCTTCAATGTTATTTCTAAGGAAACAAAAGTAGGACTAGAGAAATGCCGTCTCAATAAACTTTGAAAAACTACCTTCTGCAGAACAAAATGTGCCAGCACAGATGGGCAAATGTTTAAGGAAACAATGATGGAGGAACATGTCAGCAGAGTCATTCATCATTCGAAATAAATCTGCTCTTCTTTTCTTAAGTGTATCTCCTATTCAATCTGTATTTTAGAGGACTTCCAAGGAATAAGCAAGTGCTGGTTATGACCTGCAAAGTTCTATTTATGTGAAATGCTAGCTAATGTATGAGTACGATTCCCACTGTTTTAAAAACACTCCTTGGCAGTCCAACATTTATCTGCTAGACGCTAGATATTTACAATCAAGAAAGCAGCAGCCACACTTGATGTTTGATTACACCAAAAAGGATATGGCAGAAAAATAAAAAAAGAGTATAAATTAATATTTATGATGTTGTTTCCTTTATAGAAACCCAATTTCTAGCAATTCTCTTTGCATTAAAGTACAGCATTAACATTCGGGCTCTTATGCTGTATATTAATACAGCCATTCTGGATGGATAATTTTAGGTGGACAATTTATTTTTTTTTAAAAAATGAAGGACACAAGTTTGAGTGTCCTAAAAAGCCGGATGAGTCCTGGAGGCCAGTACAAGACCTGGAAAGCAAAGGCAATTTTTAAAATGAAAAGTAACAAGGAGTCTTCTGACTGTAAGTGTTCTGTCCCCTCCCACGAGTGGCCTTGCAGAGGCTCAAATAGCCCGGCAGTAACAAACGCATGCTAGAGAGAATGAAGCTGGCCCTTTAATAAATAATTCTCTTACAAAGTGTATATCAGTCCAATAGTTACCGGGCAATGTTCCAAAAGTCTTGGCAGACGGCCAGCAGGTTAATGCAGGAATGCAGACTCTTATCAAAAAACTCCAAACCAACAGTTGTAAATCCACTGCATCCAAAAACGCCAACAAATTGTTCACCACGCCTTTCCAGCCCAGTCACACCCCTTTTATACTTTGTAGGGTATGGCCCTACGTCTCTTGACCACACCTCTTGGGATGTGGCAATAGCTGTTCTCTACGACGTCTCCTACGTCTCTCTCTTGCATCCAATAGGGGCTCCCCCTCGCCGTTACCGGCCTCTGTTTCCTCCTCAATCTGACTGGGGTCCAGAGGCACATCAGCAACTGTCAGTTCTTGCTGACTCACCAGTGAAGACGGCCCCTCCGGCACATAGCTCGTGACAGCTTCCTGCTCCTCCATATCATCCTCCGACTCAGCATGTGAAGATAAATCAGCCTCCGGGGCTGGGGTCAGAACAGTAAGGCTAAAACATTCAATGCAGCATAAGCTTTGATAGAGAGCCATTTTTGGTATAGTGGTTAAGGCGCCAGGGCAGACACTAGGAGACAATGAGTTCTCTTTCCACCTTACGCAGGAAACCCATTGGAGCTTGAGCCAGTCTCTCTCAGCTTTAGAAAAGAGGCAGTGGCAAACCACTTCTGAAATCTTGCCAAGAAGACTGCAGGGATTAAGCCAGGCAGTCGCCAGACATCAAAATAGATGCCAGACATCAAATACACTAGGGGAAAAAATTATTTGTTCTTTATATTAAAGCAGTTTTTTTTTAAAAAAAACTATTTTTGCTGAAAATCATTTACAAAAAAAAAATCCTTTAAAAGGAATACAGGTAGAAGGAATCTATTAACTATCCATCATATTCAACTCTAGGGCTGTTACTTTCCCACCGAAGTGGTACCTATTTATCTACTTGCATTTGCATGCTTTTGAACTGCTAGGTGGGCAGGAGCTGGAGGAAGTAATGGGAGCTCACCATGTTGCAAAACACTCAGGTCTCGAACCCAGGTTGTCAGCTTTTTAGCTGACAAATTCAGCATCTTTAACTACTGAGCCATCATGCCCCCCTACCCAAATTAGGTAACATCATAGTGCTAGGTACTGAACATCATCTGTGCTAGATGATGGGCACCATTACCTAGCAGTGATGATATTATCTAGTTTGGGTGACAAAATATTTGCAAGAAAACACCCAAATTCAGAAAGCACCAAGCATCCATCATTTTAACCCTGAGCTACAAATATTCTCCTTTATTAGTTCTTCTTATACTGTAATCTTGTACTCTAATGTAAATGAAGGTTTTTTTTTCACATCACAAGGTTTTTTTTATGAGAAAACCATTTTTACTTTTCTGTTCTCCACAGACATAAATATATTATGCTTGGCAAAGGTGCCTTGCTCCATATACTCCAAATGCCATATATGATTTGTATAGAACAAATTGTGAATTTAAACCAGGGGTGAAATCCAGTAGGTTCTGACAAGTTCTGGAAAACCGGTAGCAGAAATTTTGAGTAGTTTGGAGAACTGGCAAATACCACTTCTGGCTGGCCCCAGAGTGGGGTGGAAATAGGTATTTTGCAGTATCCTTGCCCTGAAGTGGGGTGGGAATGGAGATTTTGCAATATCCTTCCCCTGCCATGCCCACCAAGCCATGCCCACAGAACTGCTAGTAAAAAAAATTGGATTTCACCACTGATTTAAACCTACAGAATCTCACCTATAGATAAGGTGCTATCTTCCAAAGAATAGTTATATCAGTTTTTTAAACAGTTTCAGAACAAATTAGAACAACTAATGTAGACATCCAGGTTTTATTTTCTAGTTCAAAAGGGAAACTCTAGAGAGGCATTCAGGGTGAGGTACCATCAGTGATTCCTGGACACTTATCTAGATCCATGAAAGGAAAACCAATGGGTATTCAAACAAACTTCCAAAGTGAGGATTGTCAAACAATAGGTAATAAAAGTCAATAGTATAAGAATTATGCAAAAAAAAAAGGGGGGGGGAAGGAAGCAACAGCGGGAGAAGAAAAGGTTGCCAAACACCTAGCAAATCAACCAGTGGTGGGTTCCAATTGGTGTTACCACTGGTTCTCTTTGCGCACACGCTGTGCACGCAATTGCTCTGCGCAAGTGTGTTAGGTTTCTGCCCAGCTGAGGTGCAGCAATCCACTCTGCTGCGCCTATCAGCTGGGCTAAAAAACAAGAAATAAAGGTAGGAATAAAGCGGGGGCGGGCGGGAGGACCCAGCTCCCAGTCAAAAAGAACCAGTTCGGTGACGTCACATCATCACCATTACCGGTTCAGCCGAACTGGGCTGAACCTGGAGCAACCCACCACTGACATCAACCCATGTCTGTTG